AGTTGTAGTAGTAGTAGTAGTAGTTGTAGTAAGAGTTGTAGTAGTTGTAGTTGTAGTAGTTGTAGTAGTAGTAGTAGTTGTAGTAGTAGTAGTAGTTGTAGTAGTAGTAGTAGTTAGTTGTAGTAGTAGTAGTAGTTGTTGTAGTAGTAGTAGTTGTAGTAGTAGTAGTAGTTGTAGTAGTAGTAGTAGTTTAGTAGTAGTAGTAGTTGTAGTAGTAGTAGTAGTAGTTGTTGTAGTAGTAGTTGTAGTAGTTGTAGTAGTAGTAGTTGTAGTAGTTGTAGTAGTAGTAGTAGTAGTTGTAGTAGTAGTAGTAGTTGTTGTAGTAGTAGTAGTAGTTGTAGTAGTAGTAGTAGTAGTAGTAGTAGTAGTAGTAGTAGTTGTAGCAGTAGTAGTAGTTGTAGTAGTTGTAGCAGTATTAGTAGTAGTAGTTGTAGTAGTAGTTGTTGTAGTAGTAGTAGTTGTAGTAGTAGTAGTTGTAGCAGTAGTAGTAGTAGTAGTAGTTGTAGCAGTAGTAGTAGTAGTAGTAGTAGTTGTAGTTGTAGTTGTAGTTGTAGTAGTAGTAGTAGTAGTAGTAGTTGTAGCAGTAGTAGCAGTAGTAGTAGTAGTAGTAGTAGTAGTTGTAGCAGTAGCAGTAGTAGTAGTAGTAGTAGTAGTTGTAGCAGTAGTTGTAGTAGTAGTAGTTGTAGCAGTAGTAGCAGTAGTAGCAGTAGTAGTAGTAGCAGTGGTAGTTGTAGTAGTAGTAGTAGCAGTAGTAGTAGTAGTAGTAGTAGTAGTAGTAGTAGTAGTAGTAGTTCATATCAGCACACCTCAGTACTTAAAGTCTCTCTCTCTCTCACAAACATGGCTGTGGTGTCTTGTTTTGCTGGCCAAGTGAAAGTGGTCTCCAGTCTTCACTAGGTATTTGAGTGTGTTCTACAGATACAATTATAAAGTCAGCTCTTATCTGGACGTATTCTGGATGAGATAGGATAACACTATGGTGTGAGGTAAATACGCTGGATTGGCTTATCAGAGTGGGTATTCTTCCGGCGCCCAGTATCATAGAAATCACAGACTGGTGATGAGAAGTGATTACCAGCCAGTGGAGTAGATTTGCAGTGAGTCAATTAGTACCTCTTGACTGACATGAAATATGGTCACTTCAATTCCTTCATGACTTTAACAGTTTGAAGTTTGACGTCTAGTCTGGGGAACTGTTTGCTCAGGGCCTATGATGATATAAGCGATCTGCACTCAGTGTTGTATTGCAGGCTATTTTGGCTTAATTGTATTGTCTGTGAATTAGACAAGCAGCTGTCTAATCCATGTGCTGTTGTGTTTAACTTGGCACCTGGTTCTAAATTATGATTTTGCATTGACTTGCGTACTGAAGTCCTCAGTTCTTTTCCTTTGTTGCGTGTCAAATGGATTGACCCTAGCTGTACAACCTTTCTGGAATTTGCTTCTTATGGATAAATACATTGTGCTGAATATTCACAGTGATGTCCGTGTTCACAATAGATGCAGTCTATCTAGTGTTCACAGTAGATGCAGTCTATCTAGTGTTCACAATAGATGAGGTCTATCTAGTGTTCACAATAGATGAGGTCTATCTAGTGTTCACAATAGATGAGGTCTATCTAGTGTTCACAGTAGATGAGGTCTATCTATTGTTCACAGTAGATGAGGTCTACCAAGTGTTTACAGTAGATTAGGTCCCCTTGTATTCACAGTAGATGAGGTCTATCTATTGTTCACAGTAGATGAGGTCTACCAAGTGTTTACAGTAGATTAGGTCCCCTTGTATTCACAGTAGATGAGGTATATCTAGTGTTCACAGTAGATGATGTCTACCAAGTGTTTACAGTAGATGAGGTCTTTCTAGTGTTCACAATAGAAGCAGTCTATCTAGTGTTCACAGTAGTTGAGGTCTATCTAGTGTTCACAGTAGATGAGGTCTATCTAGTGTTCACAGTAGATGAGGTCTACCAAGTGTTTACAGTAGATGAGGTCTATCTAGTGTTCACAGTAGATGAGGTCCCCTTGTATTCACAGTAGATGAGGTCTATCTTGTATTCACAGTAGATGAGGTCTATCTAGTGTTCACAGTAGATGAGGTCTATCTTGTATTCACAGTAGATGAGGTCTATCTAGTGTTCACAGTAGATGAGGTCTTTGTAGTGTTCACAGTAGATTAGGTCCCCTTGTATTCACAGTAGATGAGGTCTATCTTGTATTCACAGTAGATGAGGTCTATCTAGTGTTCACAGTAGATGAGGTCTATCTTGTATTCACAGTAGATGAGATCTATCTAGTGTTCACAGTAGATTAGGTCTTTCTAGTGTTCACAATAGATTAGGTCTCCTTGTATTCACAGTAGATGAGGTCTATCTAGTGTTCACACTAGGTGAGGTCTATCTTGTATTCACAGTTGATGAGGTCTATGTAGTGTTCACAGTAGATTAGGTCCCCTTGTATTCACAGTAGATGAGGTATATCTAGTGTTCACAGTAGATGAGGTCCCCTTGTGTTCACAGTAGATGAGGTTTATCTAGTGTTCACAGTAGATGAGGTCTATCTTGTATTCACAGTAGAGGAGGTCTATCTAGTGTTCACAGTAGATTAGGCCTCCTTGTATTCACAGTAGATGAGGTCTATTTAGTGTTCACAGTAGATGAGGTCTATCTTGTATTCACAGTAGATGAGGTCTATCTAGTGTTCACAGTAGATTAAGTCACCTTGTATTCACAGTAGATGAGGTCTATTTAGTGTTCACAGTAGATGAGGTCTATCTTGTATTCACAGTAGAGGAGGTCTATCTAGTGTTCACAGTAGATTAGGCCTCCTTGTATTCACAGTAGATGAGGTCTATCTTGTATTCACAGTAGATGAGGTGCATGATTGATGCTCATGATGTTGGTCACTGGATTGTCTGGCCCAGACTTTATTATTTACAGACCGCTGCCACATAGCTGGAATATTGCTGAGTGCTGCGTTAAACGCCAAACAAAAGCATGATTTAGAAATAATTGAGTTTTTCTGATTTGTAAGTTTTGTGTGTTTTGTTTGGCAGTGTGGACTTATATTACAAGACATGACATTGTAATATGGGTATTTAAAGAAACAAGGATCTCCAGCTCATTTTTTCTACTCAAGTTCTCCAAATCTAGGTCAGGCGAATCTAATACGTTGACTATTAAAAGTTTAGCCGTAGGAAACCCTTCTTAACATGTCGTCTCATAACCTCGGTTGATATCAATCAGGATGTTTTTTGGTAACAAGGTGACAGCTAAGCACATATGTTTATTACCTGTGTGTATGCATGTATTAAAGAGTGTTAATCCCAGGGGATACGTTTACTATAAAGATATATTCCCACATGATTCTGATTGGACGACAGCAACACCTGCTGAGCGACTACGCACTTCAACGATGACTAACTCCTAAATAAAGGTGTCTCGCATGTAATTTAAACCATTTTCATTGCAGGCCTTTTCTAATCAGTTATTCCCAACCTTTGTCCCTCAAGATAAATTTGCTCTGTGAGAACAGCCATGTCCTGGAGTTGTGTAGAATGAGATTGTCATGCATCCAACTTTGCTATGGGATAAATGGAGGCCCTGGGGTCACCTCACAAGGGAACTCCTCTGTTGGGCTAAGTTGCAGTTCTGATGAAGTGCATGTCAGGGCTGAAGTTGGGTGACATCACTCAGATCACAGTCTCTGGATCCTGGCTGGGTAGTTTGTCCATCAGTGCTGCTCTCTCAAAATATTGCTGATGTGATGCTGTGTTAAAACTATGTCCAAAGTGGAGATAAATCCAATCTACTCCCATTCTTCAGCCTCACAGGTTGTCTATGGTTTTATCAGACTGTCACATTACTGATAGAATACTGGTTAAGTGATGCAGTTATAATCTGAGGTGATGCTGTTGGATACATTCTGGAGACAGTGTCTTGGTATGCATTGTACAGTTTGTAAAGCACAATGCTTCGCAAGAATATGTTTTATTAGGGGCACAACAAAAGACTCTTATCTGCCTCCTCAGCTTTGTTTAAACAAGTCCTCTCTGTCAATTCAATGAGTATGCAGGTAATGTTATCAACGGTTATTGATTTATGGGTATGAAACTGATATGCTGTATGTAAACATCTGGGGCACATAAACCTGACACAGTCTCCTCCACCTAGCTGTCTGCTGCTTTTCTGAATAATGACAGAATAGTGATAATATTTTGATGTATTATTTAGTTAGCTGTGACAGGACTGACTGACTGAGTTTAGTTTTGGGCCACTTTTAGCAATATTCCAGCAATATCACGGCGGGGGGACACCTGAAATGGGCTTAACACATTGTGCCCATGTGGGGAATCGAACTCTGGTCTTCGGCGTGACGAGCCAACGCTTTAACCACTAGGCTACCCCACCGCCCCAACTGTGACAGGAGCAACAGGGTTGTCCTCTGGCTGATGTGTAATTTATTTATCCATATAAGTAACATGTAATATGGGGTATTGGACAACATGGTGTGTCTTCACAAACAGAACAGGGTATTTGCCAACATGGTGTGTCTTCACAAACAGAACAGGGTATTTGCCAACATGGTGTGTCTTCACAAACAACATGATATTTGACAACATGGTGTGTCTTAACAAACAGAACAGGGTATTTGCCAACATGGTGTGTCTTCACAAACAGAACAGGGTATTTGCCAACATGGTGTGTATTCACAAACAGAACAGGGTATTTGCCAACATGGTGTGTCTTCACAAACAGAACGGGGTTTTTGACAACATGGTTGCAAGAAAACCCTCAGTGAAGAAGATTAAGATATTTCTGATTGATGATAACTTGAATCTAGCCAAATGAAAGTTTGGTATAAAAGTAAGTATGATTAATTAATAAACTTTATCATGTTTCAGCAGGGGTTAGGTTGGAGGGAACTGCTTGTTCCAGGATAATGGAGGATGTTAATTGACTATACGTCATGTGGTTGTTTCATGAGCATGTTTCATGTTTCAGGACGGGGAAGATGGTGGGTCAAAAGAGGACTGGTACCTGGTGGAGAAGACCAAACGCTTCTGTCTTCCCAAGACCATGCTGTTCCTGGGGCGAGATGAGTGTGATGTTGTAGTGCAGGTGGGTGAAAGCAATAGTCACAGTTACCTCCCATACAGGGAGTGATATCAGAGGAATTTGCTGATTTTTATAATGTGAAATAGATCTTAACTGCCAATATATGATGACGGAAAGAGAATATCAGAATGGTTGCACCTTAGATTTATAGAAACATTAGTCTGTCCCTAAGCCTTCAATACAGAGAGTTTCTATCATGGATGAAATATAAGACTGCTTATTCCGTTTTCAGTGTTGTTCAGTGAGTGAGTTTAGTTTTATGCCACACTCAGCAGTATTCCAGCTATATGATGGTGGTCTGAAAATAAGCAAATCTGCGCCAGACAACCCAGTGATCAACAAGTTGACAATTGAAGACTGTGGCCTGGGTTGTTTGATATGTCAGATATTTAGGATCATGAAATGCTTATGTTACAAGTATACCCTGACTCTAAAACTAGACACTTACATTGTGTCTCTGCATACAGATAGTCAGGGCTCATTTTACCTGTATTAAGCAGGTAGTGTCGACCTATTTTTAAGAAATGCAACCTAATGTTTATGTCTACATGCACCAAGTGCATGTAAACAAATTTCAAATTTGTGTCTGACTAACCCTTACGTGTCCACACAAAATCAATCTTTGAACACACTCCGTACCTGTAAAGTTTATTTACCTTACTACATGGCTTATCCATATCATTCTCGTAACTTGTCATGCTTTCTTAGGTGTGACGTCATCAGATCATCAAATAAAGTGGTGCTCCAATATCTTGTACAAATTTTAATATTTCCATCTACAGCAGTAGTACAGCAGTGCATCATTAGTGTATGTGACACTGGCAGCAGACTGGCCCATGTTTCATGATAAATTTATGGGACCAGGGTTTGTTTTGTTTATTGCAACTTGTTTTACAAGTAAACATGCCCCCATTAAAAGTGACGGCAACTTCTTAAATCAAGCCGTGATAGTCCAGTGTACCATCTTTTCCACATTTGAAGGCAGCGGCAGATATACTTAAGTACCAGTTGTTCTGGGTGCCGTTCTACAAAGCAGTCTTAGCGCTAAGATGACCGAAACTCCCATAACTTAACATAGACTTAAGGTAGTCTTAGCGCTAAGATGACCGTAACTCCCATACCTTAACATAGACTTAAGGTAGTCTTAGCGCTAAGATGACCGTAACTCCCATACCTTAACATAGACTTAAGGTAGTCTTAGCGCTAAGGTTGTTTTGTACAACAGCACCCTGGCCAGTATTTAACTGACAGATAAACCCTATTGCTAGCTGCACTGTGAGGATGCAGGGGTAGAACAGAGTTCAAGAAGCTGGAATGCCAGAAGAGTCAACTGAACTAAAGCCATTGCTCAGGTTCATGGCTAAGTGAGGATCATCTTGACCCAGTGGCAGACATCTTTGCTAATGATTACAGACAATGGTGTGGCATTGACTCGCCAATGATCACTGCTGTTTGTCTTACAGAAACCATTAAATACCCCCGCCTTCATTGAAACCACTACTTCTTTAATTCATTAACTAATACATGGTAAATTCAGGTGTGTATTTGCTGGGGCGGTGGGGTAGTCTAGTGGTTAAAGCGTTGACTCGTCACGCTGAAGACCCAGGTTCGAATCCCCACATGAGTACAATGAGTGAAGCCCATTTCTGGTGTTCCCGCCGTGATGTAGCTGGAATATTGCTAAAAGCGTCGTAAAACCAAACTCAGTCAGTCAGTCAGTGTATTTGCTCAGTTTGGGATATATTATGATCAAACAGTTGGCCCAACCTTTACCTGACTCCATTGTAAAGGAACCTGCATGAGATGTTTTATAAAATCTTGGATAGGCATTTAGATGTTATAGGAAGATGAATACATAACACTCTTCATAAAGACGTTATTCATAAAAGTGCATGTTATGTATTCAGTATGTTGTACATGGCTATACGTCACAACTGATGAGCCTGGGACATACAGGATCACTCTCAGGCTTTGTATCCTCTTGAATCATGAATAATAAAAAATAACTTTAAAGAGGCCGAGATGGTGATATTTACATATGTTTTGAAGTGGCTGCTCCACAGGAATTCCCACCAAGCTGCTGCGCGAACATGTCAGGTGTCAAAACAGTCGACTCTCACATACACCAATAAATCGGATATCTGTAGAAGTGGGGGGTGTCTGTGTTTGTTGAATGTGGTTGTAATCTATGTGGCTTGTGTCATCAAAGTCAACAAATCTTAGCCTGCAGACTGAGTCGTGGAGTAAATCTCTAAACTGAATGATTTGTGTGAGTAGCAGCTCAGAGCAGGGCATGCAACATTGAGGCAGTGACGTCAGTAGACGAAGACACCCTTGTGCTTCTTAGCAATAGCTTTGAATGTTTTCTTTGCACCTTATTAAATTTACTCAACATGATATTTTTTTGGTGTTGCCAACTCAAACGTTTTAATTGACCTGTCCATCAATAACAATAGTTTTGTTTTGGTCTGATGATGTTTAAACAATAATTTCTTTCAGCGAAAACACTATTAGGATAAATTATGAACTCACCTTGACAAATGTGGAAGTACACCTTATTTTTAGGTCGGAATTAATGCAGAACATTAGTGGTGTTAAAAAAATAACTTAATCGTAAAATCTTTTAGGTTGCTTAGATAGTAGGTCAAATGTTAAGTATCTGATACTACCAGGTGTATGCTGGTTTAGGACTAGACAAAATCTGAGTGTCCAACACATCCATGTATATGATAGTTCAAGACTAGTCTGTCATGACTACATGTTGTTTCCCAACATCTAGGTATAACACGACCTTCTTGAGAGCAAGGTGTTGACTGTATGGACAAACAGTATCTACCACTGTTATGTAGCTGTGGTCTTGACCTTAAGATCGTTCAGTTGCATCAGCTCTGACGCGGATTATCTATTGTAAGTCTGAAACAGATGTGCGAGTTGAAGATGTCTTAAACAAAAATCTTGTGAGTAAACACAAAGGGCATGCACTGGAAATAGGTTGGCTGTGTGATGTAGATTGGCCTGTAGATGTTATCACCAGACTGTGGTTTTCTATCAGATGTATGTCAAACAACTATCATCCATGAGTTTGTGATGAGTTTCTGAACAGTGTGAAGTAACTGACATGTTCTTTTTGTCAAGGGTTATTATGGGTGAGAGAGGTGGGGTAGCCTTGTGGTTAAAGTGTTGGCTCGTCACACCGAAGACCCGGGTTCGAATCCCCACATGGGTACAATGTGTGAAGCCCATTTCTGGTGTCCCCCGCCATGATGTTGCTGGAATATTGCTAAAAGCGGCGTAAAACCAAACTCAGTCAGTCAGTATTATGGGTGAAGGGGTTGTTGTCATCATGGGTACTACATATGTGTATCCCAGGTCCATTCTGTATTGTGCCGTTTTCTTGATCAGAACTGTCATACTGTTGTAATAGATGCATTTGATTGCCTTATATAAGAAACGGGCATACACAGTAACAAATATTTCGCGATGCAAAATACCACTCGCAATGAGGTGAACGGGAACAAACTACATGCGGTTTCTGTTTTGGGTTGTGGAATATGAACTCTGTTTAGGGTACGGGTACGTTTCTGTATTTTTTACTTTGATTTGAATACATTTCAGTATTCAGAAACGTAGCTGGGGTACACATCTGTAGTAACTGTGCTGACAACGACCCCTTCAGCAGTAGTATGAGTCAAGTGGATATTCTTCCTTCTACACCTTCCATGATACAGATCATGTCTCAACACAGAATAGTGTCCTGAACGTAAACCTTTCAATGCAAGATTAACTGGGATGAATGGTGTTATGGATACCATGTGGCCACTTTAGGGTCATGCCAGGCCTTCCCAGACATAACCAGGCTTTCTAACTCTTATCACAGTGATAATGCTGGGCTTCCATTAGACAGTGTATAAACACATCAGTATCATGCCTACTATCAGACCTACTATTTCCTGAGTGTCACTGTTCTAGGATTGTAGAAAGCTGAGTAATAAATACAGGGATGAAGAGTGTAGAAGTTGGTTGAGGTATGTTAGGCTGGATGTTGACACGGTGTCACATGTATGCTTCTTCGTGTGACACAAATGGACCTTGTTACCAGTGGTGTTGGTCCAACATCGTGTGTGGCCTGTCATGTCATGTTAGTCCTTGTATATCTGTGCTCAGCGAGACATGGGACCGTCATTTATCATCCAAAACTGTGTTCCACAGGAGATAGGAGATATCGTTTTGACAGTAGATTTTGTGCAATACCCTAACAATGCTATGATGTCATGAGCATGATGACGTCACAATGCCATGACATCGCTGCACTTCAAGTCTAATGACAGAACGGTGGTCAGAGATGTACTTTTTTTCAATGAAAACTAATGAAGAGTGATTTTTGATGATAAATAGAATCTCACACTCGTGTCTTCTGATATCAAATATATCAACCACTCGTTGATAAAAGTAAAAATATCCTCGGCAAGCCTCGGATATTTGTAACTTTATCAACTCGTGGTGATATATTTGATATCAAAAGACACTGGGGTGAGATGCTGTATGTAACCAAGATGCCTCAAGTCATGTATGTGGTCAGGCACCTTGGGGGATTCCAGGTCCGAATGTAGCTCTCAGCAAACCATGCTGCTCATGAGAAGCTATTTAGTGGATTGGGTGGTCAGGCCCTCGAATTGTTTGATTGTCTGTCAGTGTACCCCAACACCATGAATGTTGCTCACGATATCGACAACTGGATTGTCTGGTCCAGACTTGATTGTTTACAGGCTGAAGTCACTTAGCTGGAGTATTGCTGAGTGCAACAGTAAGTAACTAATACCTTCATCTCAGGTACATATTTCCTCATTGACAAATACATGATTTTGGAAATGCTCTAATTTCGAAATTTATAAACAGACAATGTTGAAATGTTTGATCCCAAATATTCTTATTTTCATGTTCATGTTTGAGGATTTTTGCTTTTAATTCAAGAAATTGTTGTTCGGATATTAGACCTCACATCA